CTACTCAGTAGGCTGAGGCAGAGGAGCAATGGCGAACACGGCGAGTGCAATAAGCTTGAAAGTCCGGCCACTGCACTTCCGGCCTGGTGACAGAGCGAGACTCCGTCTCAAAAAAAACAACAAAAAACAAATATGCCTGACCAGGGTGCAGGGCTCACACCATGATAATCCCAGCACTATTGGGAGACTGAGGTGGGTCGATTGCCTGAGCAGGCCACTGCACTCCAGCCTGGGCCACAGAGCCAGACTCTGTCTCCAAAAAAAAAAAGTGCTGTCGGAAGGTATACATGGGAGAGCCTGGGAAGGATTTCACCTGAGGGATGGGGGGATGATGTTAAGTCCTGAGGGATGTTGGGTTTTGACAGGATCAGGGTAGAAGGGAGGATGTTCAAGGTGCAGGACCTCAGAACAGCAAAGGCCCTGAGGAGTACAGAAGTATGAGAGCGGCTCTGAGGTCAGAGGGTGTGGTTGCAGCGTGGAGAGAGATGAGGGTGAGAAGTTGAGGCCAGACCAGGCGCTGCGAATGCCACGCTGGGGAGTGGACCAAATCTGCAGGCGGCGGTGGAGAATTGTGTGTGTTCTGGGAGATGGCCAGAACCCTCCTACAGAAGAGTTAGGAGGCGCTTGGAAACCCTGCCTGGGGACATGGAGTTCATGAGACATGTTGGGCAAGGCTGCAACAGCCGTATTCATTCAGATGCATCGAGGGCACCTGCTGTGCCCGTCACTGGCCGGGCCCCGATTGTCGTGGCACGTGCTGCAGTTGTGGTCCTGACCTTTCTCCTGTCTAGTTGTGATGCCTGTATCTGTTTCAGGGGCCCTGGGTGACCAGAGTGTCCTTGAGAAGAGAGTGAGTCTCAGGCTGTCTGCTTATCTACCCAGAGCCTGGGGCTTGGCCTCAATGGCGCATTGCACGGGATTCTCAGACACAAGTCAGTGTAAGCCCCATTGCTGAGTGCCTCTCACAGCACTGTCTGTGGTCCCAGCTGCTGGGCTCTGGTCCTGCCTCGGGCCAGGTTGCTGCCCAGCAAGGAGGTGCATGTGCTGCCTCCATGCGTGCCAGGGTTGGATCCTGTGCTGCTAACTGCTGCTGTCTGACAGCCGCGTGGCCTGAAGTTGGATGCCAAGTCAGCTGGGTCCTCTCACCTGGGACCCTCAGGCCCAACTGTCAGTCAGTGGACTATGGGATGTTTGGAGCCTCTGGGAGGGGCCTCAGGTAGTGGTTGGTTTGGTCACCCATGGTAGCCACAGCTGGCAGAGATCTCCCTGTGAGTGAGCTCTGAATGCAGCCTGACCCATGGTGGAAGCTCAGGGGACATTGGGGTACTGGATAGGTGGATGAGGGGCGTGGCTGCACCACCTAGTTCTGGGCCTGCCGCTGTCCGTCCATGTGGTGTTAATGGCATTGCCTCCTGAGAGCCTTTTGTCCTCTTGTGAGGAGGGCATTATTCTCTCCATTTCGCAGTTAAGAAAACTGAGGTAGGCTGGGCCCAGTGGCGCACGCCTGTAATCCCAGCACTTTGGGAAGCTGAGGCAGGCAGATCATGTGAACCTAGGAGTGCAAGACCACACCTGGGCAACATGGTGAAACCCCATCTCTCCAGAAAAGTACAAAAATTTAGCCAAGTGTGGTGGCGTGTGCCCAGCCTCCAGAAGTTACGAAGTTTCCACCTACTTGTGAAATCCTAACCCACCTGTGTTTGTTCATTCCCCTAATGGCCCATATCACATCCCGCCTGTTAAGGAAAGAGCGGGTCCTCGGAGGCTGAGTACAAGTAGCTCCAGCTACTCGGGAGGCTTAAGCAAGAGAATCTCTTGAGGCTGGTAGGCTGAGGCTGCCAGTGAGCCATGATTGTACCACTGCACTCAGCCTGGACGACAGAGTTAGACTCTGCTTCAAAAAAAAAAAAAAAAAGGCCGGGCGTGGTGTCTCACGCCTGTAATCCCAGCACTTTGGGAGGCCGAGGCGGGTGGATCACCTGAGGTCAGGAGTTCAAGACCAGCCTGACCAACATGGTGAAACTTCATTTCTACTAAAAATACAAAATTAGCTAGGCTTGGTTGTGTTCACCTGTAATCCCAGTTACTTGGGAGGGTGAAGCAGGAGAATCGTTTGAACCTGGGAGGCGGAGGTTGCAATGAACTGAGATCAAGCCACTGCACTCTAGCCTGAGTGACAGAGCGAGACTCAGTCTCAAAAAAATAAATAATAAAAAACCCAAAACAAACAAACAAAAAAACAGGTTCAGAGAGGTTGAGTAATTTGTCCAGGAGCACACAGCTATTGAGAAACAAAGCTAGGGTTCTGGTCCCAGGTCAGCGTGGTTCTCATTCTGCTGCCTTGCTCCTTCCCAGCTCCCTGAGGGAATGTAGTATGGTGTTCTGCAGCCTTCATCCCTGAGGAAGCAAAGGGCCTGTATCAAATGAGCTGCTATTTTGAAAGAAGCTTTGTTACTTCATAGTGCCTGGTCATTGACAGAGTTTGTGAAACAGTAAGGAATGAAAACCAATGTTTATTGAGCATCTACTGTACCGTTAGGCTCTGTGCCAGGCACTTGACAGGCATTATCTCATTTAATCCATATGACAGCTTTATTGGTGGCCACATTTTACAGGTAGGCACACTGGGGCTCAAAGGAGTTGAGAACATGTCTGTGGTCGCACAGCTGGGATTTGCACACATGTTATCCCAAAGCCTGCAGGTATAACCACTACACTACACTGCCTCTTCTGGGAGATGCCTCCCACGGGAACCTTGCTGGCCTCAATGGGCCATCCAGTCTGCTGAAACTTTGCAGTCCAGCCACCCTCTGCCCTGCAGCTCTAGGCAGCTAAAGCCACAGGCCATCACGCCGCTTTGGTTTGAAGTGTGCAGGGGTGGTTGGGGAAGCTCCCCAGTTATGACCTCCGCTTTTAACGTTCATTATTTTGCAACAGTCATTGGCCTTGGCAGAATAGTAAACAAGTGATTGCAAGGCCGTGCGATAGCAGCAGAGGGACCGAGTTGGTGGGAGGGGTAGTTTGAGACCTGAGCTGTGTTTCAGGCGGAGGGGACCCTCTGCCTTTCACCTCTGTCCTTCAGACAGCACCAGCATCCCATCCCTGAGCCTCCTGTTCCACTAGGGAGGGGCTGTAGGAAGGAGGCGAAGTCACGTGAGACCGCAGGTGTGAGCAGGTGCATTCCTGACCTGCCCTCGCCTGCAGTACAGCCCCAGCCCTGCCCCGTGCCATGATTATAGGAGGGTACAGCTGGCCAGAGCCCTGCCCCTCGCTGTGATCACAGGAGGGTCTCCTCTGGCCTCTGCTTTCTGCTGTGAAATCCAGAAGTTACAAAGTTTCCACCTACTTTTGAAATCTCAACCCACTTGTGTTTGTTCATTCCCCTAATGGCCAGTAATCACATCCCGCCTGTTAAGGAAAGAGCAGGTCCTCGGAGGCTGAAGAAGGCCAGCTCTGAAGTGGAATCCACTGGAATCTGGAGCGAGCCGTTCTAGCCTCTGGGTTGGGTTCTTGATACTTGTCGGCGTGCCCAGGAGTCCTCCCTTCAGACCCCGGGACCCTGCGTAGTGGCTGCGGTGACTGATAGCGCCAGCCTTGGGTTTCCCGTCTGCCTCTGAGGCACCCACTGTGTGTCCTCAGGCCAGTCAGCAAACTCCGGCCCCCCCACCCCCGAGTTGTCAGAATTAAAAGGCACAATGAATTGAATGTGTTTGGCTGTTTGGCGCTGTGCCTGGGGTGCGGGCTCAGTTGATACTTGTTGACTGAAGGGAAATCTACAGAAAAGCACTAGGAAGAAAGGGAAAGTCACTTGGCTGTGCCGCATGAGCTTTCAACCTATGCCTAGCCGCCTCCAGCCCGCGCCACGCCCCCGCGTCTACAGCTTTGCAGTCACAAGGTCCTTTGTAAATGCTGTCTATATATAATCTCTTTGTTTCACATAAGATCTGTGCATCTTTCCCTGTCATCCTCCAGATTCCCAGTCTTTCCCAGGCCAGCATAGGCTGTTGGCTGCTTGCAGGAACTCCCTTCTGCCTTCTCTCCTGCCAGTTTTGGCTCAACCCAGTCCCTTTGCCTAGAAAGCCCTAGTATTTCCGTCATGATTCTACCTGCCCTGCAAAGCCCAGCCCAGGAGGAGTCCCCTCCTCTCACAGAACCCCATCTCAGTCTTGAGCTTTTCTTCTCGACTCTGTGCTTCCGGTCGCCTCTTACTGAGTCTTCCCCAGGGCCTCCGTGGGGCATGGGATCACACGTGCAGCCTTCCAGCATGTTCAGCCTGCTGTGTGACAGTGGGGTTCCCTGCCGGGCCAGCAGTGTGCTCCGACTCAGGGCAGGGACCAGGTTCTGTGTAGCTTTGTGCTCAAGTGCTGAGCAGACTAGACTCAGCAGATGTGTGAACAAATGGGTGAACAACTGGCTGAACAAATGAACGAGCCTGACTCTCCCTCATCATTTGGTCCATAGTGTGTTGAAATACCCTTCTAGTGGGCTTTTAGTTCCTTGAAGATGGGAACAAGTTTGCTTAGTAACTTTGTTTTATTGAATGGAATGGACTTAAACTCATCAGACTTGGGAGAATTAGGACAGATCTGTTTCCCCATTGGTAAAATAAAGGTTGGGCCTGATCTCAGAAACTCGAGAAGAGTGATTGTGGGCCCCAGGGTCGAGAGAGATACTGCCAGGTCCAGGACTGTCCCTGTGTTCTGGGTCCCAGACCAGAGTGTTTCTTCCTGAAGCTGGTGGCTGCAGCCACTTTGCCTTGCTCCTCTCTGCCTTTTCTGAAGGATGATGGGGGGCCAGACTGCCTCTGGGAGCTCCGTCAAGTTCACCACCCCCCCAACTGCCTGCCCAGTGAGTAACTAAGCCACCCACCACGGAAGCTTTCACTCAGGGTGCTTTGGAGGGGGTGGCCTGGGGCTGCAGCTCTGTGCTTCATGACCTCGGGTCTCCAGGAGCCTTGCCCCTTGGCAGCCGTTTCCAGGGCCCATCTCTGTGGGCCCACAGGGAGCAGCCTGCTAAGCGGGTGCCTGATCTACCCACAGGCCAAGTACCTGGCGCAGATCATTGTGATGGGTGTGCAGGTGGTGGGCAGGGCCTTTGCACGGGCCCTGCGGCAGGAGTTTGCAGGTAAGCATGGGTCTGTCTCCCCTTTGGGCTGGGAGTTCCTCTCCAGGTGAGATTTTCCCCGTAGCCATGGGCACCTCAGACCTGCTGGTTCTGCAGTGTGGGTAGCCTGGGGCACTTCCCATGGTGGGGGATGGTGCCAGACCAGGGCATCCTTTAGTGGGGACCTGGTTATCAACAGCATCCAGGGCAGGAGCTGGCACACTGGCCCATCCGGATACCTGGTTTTGTAAACATAATTTTTTTTTTTTGAGATGGAGTCTCACTCTGTCACCCAGGCTGGAATGCAGTGGGGCAATCTCGGCTCACTGCAACCTCTGCCTCCTGGTTCAAGTGATTCTCCTGCCTCAGCCTCCTGAGTAGCTGGGATTACAAGCACCCGACACCACACCGGGCTAATTTTTGTATTTTTAGTAGAGACGGGGTTTCACCATGTTGGCCAGGCTGGTCTGGAACGCCTGACCTCAGGTGATGCGCCCTCCTCAAAGTGCTGGGATTACAGGTGTGAGCCACAGCGCCTGGCCCTGGTTTTGTAAATTGATTTGATTGGAACATAGACACACCCACAGGCTGCTTTCTTTTTTCTTTTTTCTTTTTTTCTTTTTTTCTTTTTTCTTGAGACGGAGTTTTCGCTCTTGTTGCCCAGGCTGGAGTGCAATGGCGAGATCTTGGCTCACTGCAACTCCACCTCCCAGGTTCAAGTGATTCTCCTGCCTCAGCCTCCCGAGTAGCTGGGATTACAGGCATGCGCCACCACGTCCAGCTAATTTTGTATTTTTAGTAGAGATGGGGTTTCTCCATGTTGGTGAAACTGGTCTTGAACTCCCAACCTCAGGTGATCCACCCAACTCGGCCTCCCAAAGTGCTGGCATTACAGGTGTGAGCCATCGCACGCAGCCCTTTTTTTTTCTTTTGAGACAGTCTCACTCTGTTGCCCAGGCTGGAGTGCAGTGGGTGTGATCTCAGTTCACTGCGACCTCTGCCTCCTGGGTTCAAGCAATGCTCCTGCTTCAGCCTCCCGAGTAGCTGAGACTACAGGCATGTGCCACCACACCCAGCTAATTTTTGTACTTTTAGTAGAGACAGGGTTTCACCATGTTGGCCAGGATGGTCTCGATCTCTTGACCTCGTGATCTGCCCGCCTCGGCCTCCCAAAGTGCTGGGATTGCAGGAGTGAGCCACTGTGCCCGGCTGACAGGCTGCTCTCAAGGCAGAGTTGAATGGTTCCAGTGCAGGCTCATTAGCCTGCAAAGCCTAAAATAGCTACTCTCTGAGCCTTTAGGAAAAGTTTAGCAGCTCCTGATTCTAGTTTCTGGGGTCACTGAAAGGGAAGAGGTCACCCAGCGCAGTGGCTTTGGTGGTCTAGGTGACAGGTGGGCAGCTGGGCTGCTGCAGAGCCCTCTCTTGCCCGCAGCCCCACTGTACAGTCCCCATCATAGCCTAAAGCTCCCCAGTTTGCTGTGCCCCTGGGATATGGGGGTTGGGGGACAGGGTCATCTCATGGTCTAGGTTGGGGACCAGGAACCAGTTTTAGTGGTCAGACCCTGCCCTTATCCTCCAGTGAGGCACGTCTATCCTCACTTTCTCAGCCTCTACCCCCTAAAAAAGAAACCACTCCAGGAGAAGAGGCAGCTCCTAGCCACCTGTCCCTGTGTCTCTCATCCTGTGCCGGTGGCAGGGGTGAGCCACCAACTTGGAAGGCCCAGGGTGAAGTCTGGGCTGCTAAGGACTGAGCGATCACCCACATGTCCACACAGCCAGCCGGGCCGCAGCTGATGCCCGAGGACGCGCTGGACACCGGTCTGCAGCCGCTTCCAACCTCTCCGGCCTCAGCCTCCAGGAGGCACAGCAGATTCTCAACGTGTCCAAGCTGAGCCCCGAGGAGGTCCAGAAGGTGAGGCCACTGGGCTGCCCGAAGTTTGAAGGGGAGAGGCTGCCAGGGCGGGAAGAGTGAAGGGAGGCCTGGCCAAGGAGGTCCGATGTGGAGGCTGCAGTCATACCCAGCTCGGACTCCAACTTGCGGGAGTCACTGTTGCTGGTGAAGTTCTAGGCCTGAGGCAGGACAGTTGTAGAGACAGAGTGCTTGCCGGTAGCAGCCGAGTCGCCCTCCAGGGTATCCGTCCTCATCTCTGCCTCTTAGTGGCCACAACAGCTGCATGTGGCACACAGGGTGGAGAGGAGCCCTGTTGCCTCTCTGATGTGGCCCCACATAGCCTGCCCGGCGTCTCTCGCCTGCAGTCTGCAGCCCTCTCACCCGTCCCCTCTCCTCTGCAGAACTATGAACACTTATTTAAGGTGAATGACAAATCCGTGGGTGGCTCTTTCTACCTGCAGTCAAAGGTGAGTGGTCTTTGATTCTGGGAGGAAGTAAGTCATGGGACCCCCTCTCCTCACCTGGGGCTCGATTCCCAGTCGGGGGAGCTGGCCAGCTAAGGGCTTGGCACAGAAAACTGCCGGGCCTTCCCATGGTGCCCCAGCCTCAGGGAGTCCCCCTGAACTGCCACCCCTCTGACTGCTTTAGCTCTTCGGGGTCCAGCCACTCAGGCTGTGTCACCCCAGACAACAGCCCTCCCTCCCCGCAGCTGGGACTTGGAAGGAGCAGGAGCCCCAGCCGGTGGGGTGCTAGAAACAGCTTTCAGCTCACAGAGGTTACAGCATGCGCTGGGCCCCTGCAGCTCAGCTCTGTCTCCCCAGACCACCCCCTGACCCTGGGGTGCCGCTGAAGGAAGCATTAGTATCCACCCACTGCCCTCCACAAAATGGACCTGGGCTGACGGGAAGAGGCTGTCCCATGTGGGCAAGGGGTATGGGGCAGAGGCTTGGCCTCCTGGCCTGATTATCTGTGACCCACTAGGTGGTCCGCGCAAAGGAGCGCCTGGACGAGGAACTCAAAATCCAGGCCCAGGAGGACAGAGAAAAAGGGCAGAAGCCCCACACGTGACTTCTTGGCTCCCCCCACCCACCCCGCCACCTCTAATTTATAGCTTGGTAATAAATGTCTTTTCTGCATTTCTCTTGTGCATGTGTCCGGATTCCAGAAGGCAGGTTGCTCCTCCTGCCACTTGCAGGGCTGTGGGTGCTGGGGACGGGGAGGCAGCAGCCTTTAACAGCCCAGAAGGGCCGGGCTGGGTGAGGTTGGCGGGCAGCCAGCCAGTGGGTCCCAGCTGAGTCCTGTCACGTACAGGATGCAGCCGCTCCTGCTTCCACAGCACCCGAGCCAGCGTTAGGCTCCCTCTCATGGCGTCCCTGCCCCCAGAGCTCTGTCGGCAGCCACCGTGTCTCTGGAGCAGGTTTGAACCTAGCACCTCAGTAATCTGGGCACGATACCCCAGAATGCGGCTGGGCGAAGAGGGGCCTTTGCCTGCCACTCACCAAAGCCACAGCGGGCAGTAGTGGGCTGACAACCTGAACCCTGGGATGCTCTGCCTGGAATCTTCCCTCTCAGCTCCTGTCACCTGTGTGCCCTCAGCACCTACCTCCTTCCCAGGCTTCCAGTTCCTGCTCTCAGCGGCAGACTGAGAGGGAGGGGAACCTGCAGGGTCGGGGAGAAAGCCCGGTCAGGCCTGCAGGGGCTCAGGGCAGTGGTGGCCGCGTGTCAGGGCCGGGTTCCTGGCACATCCACGACACACAAGCCATCTTTGCAACTCACTTTTATTGTTTCTTTATAAACCTCCTCTCCCATGGAGGAATATATTGTTATAGTCATTAGCTTATCTCTTTTTTTAAAACTCTATGCTAACAGCAATGGAGCCAAGAGGAGGAAAAACATAAGCTACAATAGAAAGGCACTTAGAACCTGTTAAAATACTGACATCCTGGAATGTGCAACAACAAACCAATGACAACCACAAAAAGTACACCAGCCCTGCCGAGCCTGGTCCGTCACGGAGTCGCATGCTGAGCTCGTCAGCCTTCCAGTGCCCTGTTCCTCCGCTCTGCTCAAGTCGAAAACCCATGACCCCGCCAGGGACTTAAGGCCTGGGGCCCTCACAGGGGTGGGGGGTGCTCAGGGCCTGGGTGGGGCCTGAAGAAAGGAGACCAGCTCCCTCCTACCTTGCTCATAGCCCCTTCGAGGGGCAGAGCCAGTGTGGCTGGGCCCTGTCAGGGCTGGAGTCCGAAGCCCAGAGGCAAGGTGGGCCGGGTCAGGGTGACCCCTCTGGGACAGAAGGGCAGTCCGGGAGAGGGTAGGGTCAGCAGAGCTGCCAGAGGAACTGCAGGGTCACTAAGGACCCCAAGGCTGTCCAGGCAGTTGCCTCGTTCTACAGATGGGGAGGTGGAAGGGCCTGGCCACTCCGAGGCCTGGTGATAGGGCAGGCCTAGAAACCCTAACTCCCAGCTGCCAGGCGGGAGAGGGAGCAGGGAAAGGCCCCGGATGGGGGAGCCCATGGCTGCGTCCATCTCCCAGGGCATCCTGGGATGGGACTGGGGTACAAGGCCCTCCAGCACCCTTAAGTGGTTCTGGCCCCTGTCAGGGTCCCTCTGAGTGGCACAGAACCGGAGGGGGGGGGGCCCGCTGGGTGTTAGGGGTGGGGAAGTGCCTCTGAGAAAGCAGCCCAACAGGGAAAAGCCAGAGGAAGCAATGTGTCACGGGCCCGGCGCGCCCTCCTCCAGCCACTGCTTCCCTCAGGCCTTCACTCCACAGCCTCCAGAAAGCTCCCGACACAGTGCTGACTGGGAGCCCCCTCCCCTGCATGCTGTCACTTGGAGTCCCCAGACCAGGAGCTGTGTCCCAGCCTGTGGTCAGTCGTCCCCAGCTAGCCTCCCCTTCCTGGTACAGAACCAAGGACCCGAAGGCCTCTGCAGGGGGCGCTGCCCAGGCCAGGCCCAGCGGGGGTGGAAGGAGGAAGACAGGGCGCTGGGCCTGGCCCCACATGCTCCCTGAGCCAGGGCCCAGGCCATTCAGTGTCCTGGCACCACAGCTAGCCTGGCACCTCCCCTTGCCAGCTCAGGGGCCCTCAGACCTGCTTCCCACGCTCCCAGGGTGCCCCAAAAGGTAAAGGAAGGAGGCCCCGGGGTGCAGGGGTGGAGTGACCAGCTATCCCGTCTGGTGCTGTCGGCCTGGCCTAGGGTGAGGAGGGCAGCTGCGGAGCGGTTCTCCCTTCTAACTAGCGGGAGGCGCCTTGTCCTGGGGGGCGCGCTTCTGCCTGGGGCTTTGCAGGGGTCTGCGTCTGTCTTGCTTTCCCTCTGGAAGCAGGGTCAGAGGGAAAGGGGTCTAAGGAGCCCCCAAGGCAGGGGCTGGGTGAGCCTAGGAGGGAAGGGCAGGCCTCCCTGGGGGCTCCCCTCAGGAAGGGGGAGCCTGGTGCCAGCAGGGAGGGCAGATACCACCTCACCCGCCCCCTTTGCTGGGAGAGGGCGACTTGCCCTGGGTGGTTACTAGGTGAGGGAGGTGCCAGGGTGGGAGGGAAAGAGGAGGAGGTCGGGCAGGGGAAAGCCCTGCAGAAGCTGAGGGCCGGGTGGTGGGGGACAGAGAGGAGCGAGGCTTCAGCACCCAGGAGCACAGCTCTCCCTGCATGACAGGCCAGGTCCCCACCTGGGGGCTGGGAGGCCAGCCATAAATGACCTAGCACCATCCTTGCTCCCCGGTGGGCTGGGCTGGGGCTGCCCGGGCAGTAGGACATTATTGCTATTTCACAGAAGAGTTTCCGTTCGTCGGGGGCAGTGCGCGGAGCTGCCGGCGGGGCCACCACAGCTGTCTGCAGGGTGGGCTCAGTTCACCACAGCCGGTTTGAGCAGCACCGAGCCCGGCGGGATGACCACCCAGCCAGGGGCCAGCGCCTCTGGGCTGCTGGCGGCCGAGTTGACGCCCGTGGACAGGTCCAGCACGGTGCCTGGCAGCAGGGGGAGTCCATCGGGGCTTGGCCGGGAGCAGCTGCTCTCCGTCCTTTCGAGGGGCGTCTTGCGGCCCTCCATGCCCAGGGCCCTGGTGGGCACCGACCCACGCCCCTTCTCCCCCTCGGCCTTGCCACCAGCGGCGCCAGCGAGGAGGGAGACCACAGGCAAGCCCAGTCCGCCAGCCCCAAAGGGCGAGGGCAGCAGCGGGTTCTTGGCCAGATTGAGAGGCAGGACGGGGCCTGGCAGCCCAGGGCCCATGCCCCCCCCACCCCCACTGCCCCCACCATTGCCACAGGCCAGGGCACTGAGGTCGAGGGGGCCGGGGGCCAGGGGTAGGGGCAGGCCGGGAAGACCAGGGCCTCCAAAGAGGGCAGCTGGGTTGGGGATGATGATCTGGGCCCCACTGACATAGGGGCCGCCGTCGGGGGCGGGCAGTGGCGGCTTGGGGGGTGGGCGCAGCTGCAGGAGCTCTTGCTGCTCGTGGGACACGAAGTGGCCGTGGGCCTTGATGTGCTTGCGCAGTGAGCTGGGGTCCGTGTAGCGCTTGTGGCAGCCAGGCATCTTGCAGTAGTAGGGCTTGTCCACGTAGTGGGTGCGCGTGTGCTTAAAGCGGTCACTGGAGTTGGAATAGCGCTTGTTGCAGCCCTCATAGGGGCAGACGTAGGGCTTCTCACCTGCAGGGTGGTGCAGTGCAGTGCTGCTGTGAGGGGTCTCTCCCCTTCCTGGGTCTCACCCCATGTACTCAACATCCCCCAGGCCAAGCACTCCCTGGGAGCACGGACGCCCCAATCCTGGGGGCAGGGGGCATCCCCGGCACGTGGCATGAGATCTGGCCCCAGGTAGGGCACAGAGGCTTTCTGAAAAGCCAGGCTGGTTGACTCCAGCTCTGACTGGCCTCGCCCTGCACCCTCTGCTACAGAGGGTGTGCCTTTCAGCAGCAGAACATGGCCTTGGAGGCCAGGCCCGGGGGTTCATGCCTGTAATTTCAGCACTTTGGGAAGCCAAGGCAGGTAGATCACTTGAGGCCAGGAGTTCCAGACCAGCCGGGCCAACATGGTGAAACCCCATCTCTACTAAAAATACAAAAACTAGCTGGGTGTGGTGGCGGATGCCTGTAATCCCAGCTACCTGGGAGGCTGAGGCAGGAGAATCACTTGAACTCAGGAGGTGCAGGTTGCAGTGAGCCGAGATCATGCCACTGCACTCCAGCCTGGGTGACAGAGTGAGTCTGTCTTAAGAAAAAAAAAGAAACCATGGCCTTGGAGATCATATCCTGGCTCAAGGCACCCAGCATGTGCCTGGCCACAGGGAATGCTGCCTGGGTACCACTGCCCTCACTCAACAAATGGCTCAAGGTTCACCAGGCATTTTCTGGCCCTGGCCAGAGCAGGGGGCCACATGCAGCAACTGACCTCCTGATACATGGCTCTCCACCTGGAGATGTGCTGCCAGGGTGAAATAAACACCAGGAAAAAAGATACACATAAGCTCCTTGAGGCTTTGTCATGAAATGAAGAACTTCAGTATCTCACCGATTTGTCTTTAATACTGAATTGATAACACGTTGGATGTATGGGATCATATTACATTTAATTAATTACATTTAATACATATTACAATTAATTTCACCCATTTCTTTTTGTGTTTGTTTTGTTTTGCTTTTGTTTTTTTGAGACGGAGTCTTGCTCTGTCGCCCAGGCTGGAGTGCAGTGGTTTGATCTCGGCTCACAGCAAGCTCCACCTCCCAGGTTCACACCATTCTCCTGCCTCAGCCTCCCGAGTAGCTGGGACCACAGGCGCCCGCCACCACACCCGGCTAATTTTTTGTATTTTTAGTAGAGACGGGGTTTCACTGTGTTAGCCAGGATGGTCTCGATCTCCTGACCTCATGTTCTGGCCGCCTCAGCCTCCCAAAGTGCTGGGATTACAGGCGTGAACCACCACGCGTGGCCTTGCCGCTTTTTATGCAGCGATTAGGAAATGTAAAATTACATCTGTGGCTACGACAGCCAGAGCTGTCCTGCTGTGGGCCTGGGCTGTAGTGAGGAGTAAAGCCGACCTGGCCTCTGTGATCACAGAGGTGGCATTAGTCAGATGATACCCACGGGATCCAGGAAATGGCATTGGTGCTCCAAGAGCAGGTGCTGGGTGGGGGTCAGACCCTCAGGGGACGCTTCCCCCAGCAAAATGCATTGGAAAAGGGACCCCTGGGTGATGAGATCAACCCTCATCTCTGAGGTCTGGGAACGACTTACAGTCCCCTCCCCCGGGGACCTGCCCAGCCAGTCTCAGCTGAGCACCCCCTTCATGGGCCGAGCTGCCCGGCCCCGGCCTCTTACCTGTGTGCGACCGGTTGTGGATCTTCAGGTTCTCCAGGCGGGAGAAGCTCTTGCTACAGGTCGGGCAGCGGTGCGGTTTCTCATTGGTGTGTGTGCGGATGTGGATGAGCATCTTGTACCTGCTCCAGGGAGGGCAGGGGGTGTGGCTCAGCTCACTGGAGACCCCAGTCCTCCCTCTACCCCTCTCTACCCCACCTCACCTAGCGTTGAAGCCTCGGCCATGGCGGGCACAGCCCTCCCAGTGGCAGCAGTACCCCGCGTCCTTCTCGGGCTTGACATGGTAGTCGTTGACGTGGTCCACCAGGTCTTGCAGGAGCTCAAAGAGCTGGTTACACTGTGGGGGCCGGGAAGGGTTCTGAGCCCATGCGGGGTGACCTGCCCCGGACTCCACACCACTCTTCCTGGCCCCCACTCACCTTGGCCCAGCGACACACCAGCTGCTTGGGCAGGGGCAGGTCTGGCGAGAGGCACTTGTCCTTGGGAGGGGTAAGGAAGGAGGAGGCAGGCAGGTGCAGGGCCCCCCCAGAGCCCAGGGGCAGGAAGAACTGGAAGGAGCTGGGGACACCATCCAAATAGCGCAGTGGCTGGAAGTCCTGGGGTGCGAGGGGAGAGCTAGTCAGGGTCCTGCTGGCCCGGAGCCCCCCGTCCCATCTAAAGTGGATTGAATGGCGTCCCCAAACAGAGACATTCAGGTCCTCTTCTCCCCAGCCCCTACCTGTGCATGTGGCCTTATTTGGAACTAGTGTCTTTGCAGATGTGATCAAGTTAAGATGAAGTCACACTAGATTAGGGTGGGCCCTATCCAGTGACTGCTGTCTTTTTTAAATTTTTATTTTCTTAATTTAAAAAAAATATAGCCAGGTGCGGTGGCTCACACCTGTAATCCCAGCACTTTGGGAGGCCGAGGTGGGCGGATTACTTGAGGTCAGGAGTTCAAGACCAGCTTGGCCAACATGGTGAAACCCCCTTTCTGCTAAAAATACAAAAATTAGCCAGGTGTGGTGGCACACGCCTGTAATCTCAGCTATTTGGGAGGCTGAGGCAGGATAATTGCATGAACCTGGGAGGCGGAGGCGGAGGCTGCAGTGAGCCAAGATTGTGCCACTGCACTCCAGCCTGGGTGACGGAGTGAGACTCTGTTTAAAAAAAAAAAAAAGGCCGGGCGCGGTGGCTCACACCTGTAATCCCAGCACTTTGGGAGGCCGAGATGGGTGGATCACTTGAGGTCAGGAGTTCAAGACCAGCCTGGCGAACATGGTAAAACCCGTCTGTACTAAAAATACAAAATTAGGCCAGGCGTAATGGGTGGATCAGGAGGTCAGGAGATTGAGACCATCCTGGCTAACACAGTGAAACCCCGTCTCTACTAAAAATACAAAAAAAAAAAATTAGCCAGGCATGGTGGCGGGCGCCTGTAGTCCCAGCTACTAGGGAGGCTGAGGCAGGAGAATGGCATGAGCCCTGGAGGTGGAGCTTGCAGTAAGCCAAGATCGCACCACTGCACTCCAGCCTGGGCAACAGAGCAAGACTCCGTCTCAAAAAAACAACAACAAAAAACAAAATTAGCCAGGTGTGCTGGTGTATACCTGTAGTCCCAGCTTGGGAGGCTGAGGCAGGAGAATCGCTTGAACCTGGGAGACAGAGGTTGCAGTGAGCTGAGATCCGGGCCACTGCACTCCAGCCTGGGCAACGGAGCAAGACTCTGTCTCAAAAAAAAAAAAAATAAAATAAAATAAAAAAATAAATAGAGATGGGGCCTTGCTATGTTGCCCAGGCTAGTTTTGAACTCCTGGGCTCAAGCGATCTTCCCACCTTGGCCTCTTAAAGTGCTGGGGTTACAGGTGTCAGCCACCATGCCCGGCCATGACTAGCGTCTTTATAAGAGAAAGCAGAGAGAGGTTTGGACACAGAGGGATAAAGGCCATGTGAAAACAGGGCACAGCCTGGAGTGAAGCAGCTACCAGGCTAGAGTGCCAGGCATTGCCAGAAGCCACCAGAAGGCAGGAGAGAGGCAGGGAAGGTTCTCCCCTAGAGCCTTCCAGGTAGACTCCAGCCTCCAGAACTATGAGGGGTAACATGTCTGCTGTTTTAAACCACTCAGTGTTGGGGTACTTTGTCATGGCAACCCCAGGAAACCAGTCCACCCCTCTCTCTGGAACTCTCACCCCTCCTTACCGAGGCACTGGGCACTGGAGGCAGGTCCCCGTTGCCCTGACGCTCAGGGGACAGCGAGCTGCTGCCATTGGGGGAGTCCAGCCCAGATGGTGGTGACAAGCTGAGGTCCACGAGAGGGGCTGCTGAAAAGCGTCCCTCCACCTTCTCAGGGAACTTGGAGTTCAGCAGGAAGCCTAAGGGAGAGGCACAATTCAGGGAATGCTGGAGCACAGAGTCCTGGTGGGCCAGGTCCTCCTGCCTTGAACCCCCACTGTGACCTTGGAAGCAGACACCAGCCACGCCCCCAGACCACACTGGGAGCCCTGGAATCTGAGGAACAGCCTATGGAGCTGACAGGTGTGTGACACCGCCCACCACCTCTGACCTTTACCAGCCACCAGAGCTTGGCCCCCGTGAGCCGGGAGGGGGAAGTGCCCGCTTTACAGACAGGAATGGTCTGGCTCGCAGGGTTAATAACAGAACAGGATTCGAACCCAGGGCCCCTGGGTCCCTGTCAGACGGGCAGGTAGGAATCTTTCTAGCTTTTCCCAGGCCCCTTCCTGCCTCAGTGCTCCCTTCTGTAAAGTGGCAGGTTTGGACTGGGCTGCTCCCATAGCCTTCACGTTCGGACAAGTGGTGAATCTGGTTTTCGGGTGAATCTGCTCTTGGAGGCAGGGCAGAAGTGGTGCACGCCACCCTGGGCCCGAGCACTGCGCATCCCTGAGAGACACCTGCTGAGCTCAGACCCAGACTCTACCGCCTGGGTTGGCCAGCTGCACCACCCCACAGCCCAGGGTGCAGCTCCTGGGACCTCTGCCACACCTTCTGAATGCCGGGTTGCCCAACCAACTCCTCCAGATCTGTCCAGAGGCCTCAGTTTGCATCACGTGCCAGCCACGTGAAGTGGGCATTGCAGCTCCCACCTCCCTCCAGACAGACACTTCTGGGCGGATGGAAGGACAAGCCTGTGGGCTTCCCGTGAGCTGGAAGCCAAGAGGGGCTGCAGCTACATGCTGGTGGACACATTTGGCCATTCTCCCTATCACCATGGCTGGATCAGGGCTGAGTCCCCCTGCCCTGCCCAGGGCCAGTACCTGAGGGCGGGGACCCCGGAGAGCCAGGCGTGGGGCTGTCGTCCACCAGGCCCAGCTCCCTGTGCAGAGCACGGGGCCGGACCACACCCAGAGTCCTGTCCCGCTTCTCTCTCGCCGCCCGGAGCTTGGTGATACTCAGCTTCAGGTCGAGCGGCTCGTCCAGGGAGTGCATGGTGAGGGGGCTGGAGTTGGAGGTGGCAGCAGGCAGTGGGCTCCCAGCTGGTCTTCACGCAGGAACCTGGGGAAGGACAGGAGCTCTGCTGTGGCCCTGGGACCCCAGGCTTCTCCTCGGGCTGCACTCACGACAGTCTGACAGGAGCAGGAGCAGGAGCAGGGGGCAGGGTGAGGTTGTCTCCTGGGTAGGGAGACCCTCCGAGGGACCTGGCCGGCAGCTATCATGGGAGGAGAGCCAACGGCCTCCTCAGAGATTCAACATCCGCTGCCTACAAGTCTCTTGGGGAAGACAAAGCTCATGTTCTCCATTTTGCCATGAAACTGAATTTTATTTATTTGCTGACAGGGTCTCGCTCTGTCACTCAGGCTGGAGTGCAAGTGGCATGATCATAGCTCACTGCAGCCTCGACCTCCTAGGCCCAAGCGATCCTCCCACCTCAGCCTCCCTGGTAGCTGGGACTACAGGCATGCAACACTCCTGGCTAATTAAAAAAAAAAAAAAATTCTTTTTTGTAGAAATGGGGTCTCACCATGTTGCCCAAACTGATCTCGAACTCCTGGCCTCAAGCAATCCTCCTGCCTTGGCCTCCCAAAATGCTGGGAGTACATGCCTGAGCCACCGCACTTGGTGAAATTGAGTCTTTTAGAGGCATCGCCTCAGATTGCTAGCGCTCAGAAGTGGCAGAACTGTCAGATTCAAGGCCTCAAGCTAGATCTCCCAGGAACCGGCTAGCCGAGTCCCAACAGCCATTTCTGACAGAGCAGGAGCCATGCTCCGGACGCCCGCCCTGTTTGACCCCAAAGATCTAGAACGAGGCCAGGGGGCAAGGAGCATCCTCCGAGGTGGCCAGCAGGCAGCCACGCTCACCTCCAGGGAGCATGTACCAGGCAAACCGAGGAAGTGGGCACAGCCAGCAGAGGCCTGGAGGAGAGGCATCGCAAGCCAGGGAGCCCCAGGGCGCTGGGCCACCACCAGGGGGCAGCTGGGGATTGCGGCCTGGCCTGGCCAGGCCAGGCCAGCTGGGGCAGGGTTGGCACAGTCGACCAGCTCTACCTGAGAGTTAACCTATAAATAAGTAAAAGTTATTTTTTACTGGAGATGATATTCCTTTAGTATAACTTCCCATGCTGTAATTTTCATCATTTTTGTTAGAATTTCTCACTGGTATAATTTTTGTTTTCTTTTTGGAAATGGAGTCTCTCAGTCACCCAGGCTGGAGTGCAGTGGCGTGACCTCGGCTCACTGCAACCTCTGCCTCCCAGGTTCAAGTGATTCTCCTGCCTCAGCCTCCTGAGTAGCTAGGATTACAAGCGTACACCACCACACCCAGCTCATTTTTCTATTTTTAGTAGCGACAGGGTTTCACCATGTTCACCAGGCTGGTCTCAAACTCCTGACATCAGGTGATCTGCCCGCCTCGGCCTCCCAAAGTGCTGGAATTACAGGTGTGAGCCACCTTGCCCCACCTGGTATAATTTTGCTCACATGCAAATGATCTAACAGTATCCACCGACCCGAGAACAAGGTCAACGCTTCATTCTAAACCCAAACTTCACATTCAGAGCAGCAATCTTTTCCCACGCGGTTAAACACGACATTTCCTTGCATTCATTCATTGGGATTATTACAATTTGAAAATCTAACCGCCGCATAATCGCACTGAGATCCCATCTTTTGCGGTATCGGGGTCTCTTTACTCAATACCAAAGGGCGGCCATGGTGGACATAACTACTACATGGTGAAATACTTTGGATATGCCCCCGTGTTTCCCTGGGGACTAGCATGGCCTGTGAGTGGGCAGAGCTGCCCAGATGCTTTCCACAGGGCAGGACAGGAAGGCAGCCCTCACATCCCCACTCGGGGCCTCAATCCAGCCTTTCCTTGGTTCTGACCCCCACTCATTCATTTGCCCCAGCAAGCTCCCCTTCTGCCCTGACTCTCAAAGCAATGAGGGCATAAAACGGTCCCCTTCACTGGAGATCCTCTGCCTCTAGGGAACCACCCCAAGGCCCCACCCCAACACGGCTGACACGGGGGTCTCAGCAAAGGGAGGCTGCCCACCTCTCCCAAGGATGTGTCATCAGAGACAGGGCAGCTGCCCTAGGCCGTGGGACCTAGGTCTGCGACCTGCCCCTGTTGGAACTGTCAGATGGTTTGAATTTGCCTCCCAGGCCACCCATGGGCCAGGGGCTCCCAGAGATGTGGCGGAGTAGGGACCACACCCCTGCCAGCAGGTGGGTGGGTGACAGTAATGGATGGACCCGGATCCCCTCCACCGTTTCTCTGGCTGGACAGGGAGTTGCCCTCTGCCTGAACCCCTGCCAGTTCCATCCGTCTATCTGTGTGTCTATCGTCCTGCTACCTGTTTATTTTTAGACACAGGCGCAGTCCAGCCTCCCCGAAGCTCCTCTGTGCTGGGAGCCTGGACGGGGAGGAAGGAAGTAAATATTTATGCTGATGAAGAATTCAGGAGCCAGGAAGGGCTGGTGGCCTGGTCCCTTGGCTGGCCCGGGGCCACAGGCCTCCCCACAGCCTCTGTCCTCACCCCCACCCCCACCCTTCCGGAGAAGGGGACCACAAGGGCAGGATGGTTTGGAAACTGGGAATTCCAGCTGACAGGGACACTCACTGGCAGTGCTACCCAAGCAGCATCCTTTGGCACCTGCCCCACTGCCTTCCCAGGACAGATGGGAACTCAGGGAAGCCAGGGGCCCTGAATCACCTTGTTCTTAGGGCCTGCAGGGGACACTTTCCCCGGGGGAGCCTGTCTCCCCAGGTGGGACCAGCCACACGGCCCAAAGCCAGAGGGAGGACTCCAATACCCCCCCTTCATCAGCAGGCCCAGTCTCCAGGGGCACCCCCACACACTTCCTGCCACTGGGTCCTGCCAGGGAGGCAGGGGTTCATTCCAATGCACGCCAGAGCCCAGCCCAGGGCCGGCCTCCCTGCCCCCGGGGAAAGGAAGGAGCTGCCCCCAGCCCTACACCTCCCAGTATCTCCGGTCCAGGCCCTCCCCACCCAGAGGTTTTCTTCCTATGGAGGCCCCACCCCAGAGGGGAGACGGTCTGTGACCCTGCTTCAGTTCTGACCTTGGCCAGCCTTAAAGCCTCCCCTTCCACCCCCGCCGCGACCGGCAGCAGCCAGTTCTGGGCTCTGCTCTGCGCTTTGTTCCCGGCTGGGTGAAGGGGGCAGGCGAGAGCCAGGTTCCTGCTCTCCTGAAAGCCTCGGAGGCCCAGAGCGGGGAGCAACGGGCTGCAGGAACCCTGAGTGAATGCCCATGAGCGGGTGGCCGTGGCCCTCCCCAGCGGTGAGGCCGACAGCCTGGCTCTGGATAAGCTCAGCCGGAGGCCCGGGCGCTAATTATTGTGGGGTCCCCAGGGCAAGAGCAGGCTGTCGGTTAGGTGGGAGCACCCCGTGGACGCTCCCCGGGCCCAGCGCAAGGCCCGCTGGCCCCACGCCCCTCTGCGCCTCCTGGTAGAGCCTTCCGTGCCTCAGTTTCCCCCCTGGTGGGACGGCGCAGCGTGGAGGGTGCACAGAGCCCAGGGCCGCGTCTCTCGAGCGCCCAGCCCGAGATGCGCCCAGCGCGGCGCCCCCACACTCAAGGGCCCGGGGATTGGGGTGAGGGGTGGGGGCCGCCGCGGTGGTAGCGGACCTGGCGCTGCGCGGCTCCTCCAGCTCCAAAAGGAACTAATTAGAGCGGGGCGAGCGGGAGGAAGCGGCTGCGGCCAGGGAGGAAGCGCGCGGGGGCGGCCGCGGGGACCACCGGGGCGGCGGGGGTTTCGGGGGACCGCGCCCGGCCCTCCCCACCCCCCCCAGGGCGGGGGTCACCCGGAGGGTGGGCTGGGCGGGCCCCCCCGCCGCCCTGGCCCGAGACAATGGCTGCTATTGTGTGCCCGCCGACAGCCCGAGCAGACGGCCCCCAGCTGCAGTGCTGGCGAGCCACCCGGCCCCCAAGCCGTCCCAGCCAGGCCAGGTAGTCAAGGATCCCGCCCCGGCAGGCGGGGCCTGCTGCTGTCCCCACCCTCCCTACTGGGAAGCACGGGGCGGCCCAGCGCACTAAGGGAAACTAAGGCCCAGAAAAGACAGCCTCTTCCAGGGCCCCTTGGCCTGGGTTGGGTCATACACCAGAGACGGGGGTAAAGGACCATTAGATACTGACCACGTGTCAGGCCCATCTGTCTATGGATTCACTGAGCCCTCTACAACCCTGCCTGGAAGTAGCTGCTGTCATTTTACCGGTCTCATAGATGGGGAAACTGAGGCTTGAGATCACCAGGCTAATAGGGAGCTGGCTGGGGTCCTGCTCTGAATAAAGCTCCTTCTAGGCCAGGTGCCCCGGCTCACGCCTGTAAGCCCAGCCCATTGGGAGGCCAAGGCAGGAGAATCCCTTGAGCACAGGAGTTCCACACCAGCCTGGGCAACATGGAAAAATCCCCTTTCTACAAGAAATACAAAAATTAGCTGGGTGACCCTGCACGGTGGCTCATGCCTATAATCCCAGCACTTTGGGAGGCCCAGGGTGGATCACCTGAGGTCAGGAGTTCCAGACCAGCCTGGCCACCGGTGAACAACCCGTCTCTACTAAAAATACAAAAATTAGCCGTGGCGTGGTGCAGGTCGCCTGTAATCTTTTTTTTTTTTTTTTTGAGAGACAGAGTCTCTCCTGTCCAACAGCTGGAGCAGAGCACGAGCTCCCTCACGCAAGCTCGCCTCTCCGGGTCACGCATTCCCTGCCTCAGTCCGAGTAGCTGGTACAGCGCCCGCCACCTGGTCGCCCCGCTGTTTTTTGTATTTTTTTTAGTAGAGACGGGGTTTCACCGTGTTAGCCAGGATGGTCTCGATCTCCTGACCTCGTGATCCACCCATCTCGGCCTCCCAAAGTGCTGGGATTACAGGCTTGAGCCACCGCGCCTGGCTTTTTAAGAGACAGAGTCTTGCTCTGTCTCCCAAGCTGGAGTGCAGTGGTGTGATCATAGCTAACTGCAGTCTAGGCTCAAGAGATCGTCCTGCCTTAGCCTCCAGAGTAGCTGGGACCACAGGTGCACCACCACCACACCCAGCT